AAGGTATAATGCACTTGCTGTTCCTCACCTAGATATACCACTTGGAATTACGTGATGAAATCTGTGCAAAATAACGAATGATAAATAAATAGAAATTTTATAATAATGTCACAGGACCTGCAAATAGAAAGAAGTGGGTCAACTGATAAGACCTGAAAAACGTGACCTAATTTTGGCCGAGAATGGCGCTGTGAGGTGAGTAGGGGGCTCGTAAACTAACACATGGCGCAGGCTGTCTGTTTATTTTCTGCACCTCTAGACAGGTTCAGATAGCTCTATCTGCAGATCAATATGATGTGTGACTTCGCATGAGTCATTTATTAGATGATAAATATTGTGATGTGTTTTAATGCCACTCACATACTGCTGGTACTTGCAGTGCGCGACTAGGTTGTTGATCTAATACTAGCACAGTTGTAGTAGTTGTAGTAGCGTCTTTGGGTGCCACAGTTGAAGACCATAGCTGTTAGGAAAGGGAATGGAGTAGTGGTGGTGGTGGGGGGGGTGGGGGGGGGTTGCTGTTTGTCTAAGGTGGCACTGAAAGTGCTTATTAATGGGAGCGGACCTTGTAATAACTTAGTGGTATAATATATAGGCATTGTTATAACGCACCTCTCTTTCTCCCTCTCTCTCTTATACACACACACATGCACACACACACACATACATGCACACACACACACACACACACACACACACACACAGTGAAAACATACATAAACACACACAAGAGTGCGCAATGGGACTACAACACGTCATTCTCAACTCATGGCCCATTATGTCAGGGGCTCATTCCCAATGGCATGTTAGGTCTACATACATGCTGTAGATCAATTCAACTCTGGGGAGACTTGATCTGAAGGCAGTCAGTTTCAGGGGCAGATGCAGGATTATTTGAAGGCGGGATCCGCCATGCGAAGCAGATCCTCCCCCCTCCCCCCTGGCATTGGTTTGGGGGCCCAGCCCTGAAGGCCCCGAATAAATTTGGTATTTTAGAGGGCGAATGATGCCATTTGGTACAGTTTAGAACTATGATTCAGCTAGTCAAAATTCTGATTTCGAGAGGGGGCCATTGGATTTTCTGAAAGCGAAGGGGGGGGGGGGCAGGACTCCCCCTGATCCCCCCTTCTAAATCTGCCACCGAGTTTAACAGATTGACATACTCCTCTTGGTTTCTTACTTACGCTTATAATCACCAGCTTTTCTGCATTCTCCTCAACACCAAGAAGAGGCGTGTTAATCTGTTAAACTGATTGTATTCAGTGAGAGTCCCTGCATAGTTTGATCGATCTACGTTGACTGATACTAGCATAACTGGGAATGAGCACTAGGGTGAATTCCCAGAGATTTAGATCGATCCAGAGATTTAGACTTAGATCGACCTAACGCCCTGGGGGTTCACGCTAAATTGCAGTCAGCCGAGCGTGCATCATAGTTAATTACCCCCTTACAGCTTTTAGTAGGTGAGAAAGATGCTTAAGCCGGCTAAGCTGACAGTAATCTAGTGAGACTCCCCACAGGGATAGATCGATCTAAAATCTATGGAAATGGGGTCCTAGGTTTGACAAACAAATAAGTGCAGATGTCAGCTTATAGCGTTAAGGACATTGACCTGTTATGACCTAGTTAAAATGTGATTGTAAGGCTGAAGTCAACCAATCAGTAGAACCAGTTGTAAACCTAGCTGATACAGATAAGCTTCCTCAGAGCAAAGTATTTATAATTGCTTAGTGTTCAATGAAAAACAAGTCTTAAGGTTGCTTTTTTCATGTCTTTTTATATCTCTTGTCATTTAGTACAGTCATAGAAATGTCTTCATTTTCAGTGTTTGTCACTAATTTCTGTCCATTTAAGTTTTAGGTTGGAAATAATGTAAGATGGCAGCTGCAAGAAACGCAGTTCGGCGTATTGGGGTCTTGCAAGGCGCCTTGGTGAAGAGACAGACGTACCGTGGCCGTGTGGAGAGCAGACGACATCAGAATACATATGATGGGCGATGGCCACCAGATCACGGCGTGGGTATTGATAATGTGGAGGCACAGGTTGCGCAGGCCAGGTACTTAATTCCTAAATTTTTTTTTTGCCAAAGGAGAAGATAACAATTATGATACATTTAATTGATAAAAATGAAAAATATAATTGATTTTTTAGGCATTTCATTGTGTGATTTGTTGAAAAAAGTGAGTATACTGGAGATTATTATATGCTGGTGCTACCTCAACTGGATATATTTGCTAAATTTATCCTCTTTTGTTTTTATCTGTGTCATTTAAAACTGAAGGCGATATTCACTGTCTGTCACGAGGCACAGTTCCTAGCTGGTAGATACAAATTTATCTGTCCGGAGGGAGGTCTGATAATATTTTTCTGGCTAAGTCTGTCATGTCTTTGACATAGGAGATAAGTATATCTAGCTCTATTGTTCTGGGATATACCTTTAATAGCATCAGTTTTTGTATCATTTTTTTTACTGCCATTTTCATTCTCATTTAATTGGCATAAATTTTACATATTGTGTGCACTTGTGATAGTCTATCCTTGTGAATATTGATGTTTGTCCATGTATATGCACATACTAGTAACATATGTTCTCATGTTAGAGGTTGTATGGAAAAAATCTTCCCTAGTTCTCTGTATTCTTGATATACTTGGCTGACATAAGGTCAGACATTACATAAACACAAAACATGTTAGCATTTAGAAACCAGCTAGGAATACATTTTTATAGGATGAGCTGACTGTATGCATTAGGTTCATCTCCTCATGTTATTTAACATCTATGAAAAGAGGTTCAATAATATTAATAGACAGGAATAGAGAGTGAGAAGTGACTGCTAGAAGTTGAGTGGTGGAGAGAGAGAGAAGGAGAGAGAGATAGGGGAGAGAGAGGGAAAAAAGAGACTATATACTTATATCACCTCCACATACCATGAGGAAAAAATGCCGACAGGAAACGGGATAGGTGTCTAATATGTGATAAATATGATGTGTTTGCCTCAGGCCAGATCCCAGTGCTACTGCGCCACTGTATAGAGAACTGAACACCGCCAGGTAGACTTGACAGCATTCCATAGGCTCCATTCAGAACAGAGGACTAACTAGGCCGAGGGTCAAATATGGTGACCCACTACAAAGCTTGCCATCTAATCTGTTAATAGACACTGAATAGATATCCCATGGGGAAGTATTCAAGTGGGTCGGCCATATTTGACCCTTGGACTAGCTAGTCCCCTATTCTGAATGGGGCCTTAGAGAATAACACACAAGCTCCGGTTCTTTCTTTCCACCCAAAGAAATAGTAATACAGAGGTTAATGAGATATTAATATACACAGGTTAGTGATATTAACTTCCCCCGTGTGTGCTCTCCACAACCAGTATTTCATACTATTTATGGGAGTTTCTTTAATAATATTTGCAAATTGACCAAGGGTAAAATATGATTTTATTGTACTGTAACATTTGGCATGTGAGTAATTTTGGGCCCATATTGTTCTTTATCCATATAACACTTATCTGGTTTAATAGGTGTTTTAATGTTTGTTTTTTAGAACTGAATAAAATGCATGTTTTTTTCTCATTTAATGATTAAATGCATTACTCACTCATCTTTTTATAGACAGTCAAAATTGTTTCAGATAAAGTTTTTTATTTATGTTGTTGATAGAGTTTGCCTTTGAAACACTCAATTGAAACCTAGTGCTCTACGTTTTGTCATTTTTTTATTTGAAATTGATTTTAAGCTTTGAAAAATTGAAATGATGTCTATGAGCACTTTCAAACAAGGCATCTATATGAAGGGTTTTTCTGCAGAGTCTGTCTTTCCTGTAGACAAACAATCTCTCCCAGTTTGCTAGTCTCTTGATTAGGATTGCCATAATAACACAGCTATTGATGGGAGTAATATTAAACAATCCTCTTATCTCACTAGGAGTGTGTATGTTACACAGTATAGTCACTCTATGTGGTGAGAGCTGAAATACATTCCCTCAAATATCTCCTCAAAAATAAGCCAGTAAAAGGCACTTTTATTAATAGAGCTGATGTGGAAATAGTAAATGAGAATTTTAAAGATTAAAAATCAGTGTGGTTTGATCAGATATTAAAAACAAGAAATGGTGACAGTAGCTTTATTACAGATACTGTTGATTTATTCAGGAAAAAGGATAAATTTACAGTTTTTGGTTTTTAAGTTAAAACCTGTTTTGGTCTTTTTTGTTTCCCCTCTTTCAAGGAGATTTTAACATCTAAAAAACATTTTTGCTGGTTTTGATTTCACATTGGGGCTGGTTTCTTTTTTACTTAACATAAAGTTTAGAAATTTCATGTAACTTTTTATCTTTTAACTCATACAGAGTGTGCATGATTTAGATAAGCTAGAATTAAACAGGTTTAGTGGATATTAATAGTTTTGGGTTATGCAATTGACCTTGTGTACCCGTTAACAATTTGAAATATTTGAAATCTGTTACATTTGAAAATTTACTTTAATATTATATGATATATGATCTATATTTATGAAAGCATTTAAACTTGCTTGATATTATTATAATATTAGGCTTTTAATAAAGAATTAATAGAATATCATTATACTATGTGATTTTGAAAATTAAATTTGCTCAGATTTTAAATTAATGATATCATGACAGTTTTAGTAAATTTGCAATATAAAAATTAATTTTTGGTATTTTTAAACTTTTAAGTTTTATTTCTTCTTTTAGTCTGGTGAACTTGCAGACTAACACTCTGGCGCGGCAGGGATATGACATGACCCAGAGGTAAGTGATATTAAAGTTTAAATTTGAAAATTCTGTATGAAATTATATTTGATATTTCAATTTTTTATGTATTTAATGTCAGTTGGTTTGTCTATGCAAGTACTAGTAGTCTTCTTCTTTTTTTTTTTTTTTGCATTTGCCTTTTTAGATATTACTTCATGCTATATATGAAAAATGTGTTATGCCATTTTGGAGAAGAAGTTCCTTTAATTGTTATTAAGAACTTTTCGTGATTTGAACATTAGGAGAAGAAATACTCTGTTGAATGATTTTAATATACATGGAGAATATGCAGGCAACCATTGGCAAGGCTTTTATAAATTTATTTATAAACTTAAGCCAGAGGCAATCATCAAACATTGAATGTTGGGATTAATGAAACATTTTCATAACAATAATAATAATAATAATAATAATAATAATAATAATTATAAACAAGACAGTTTAGTTGTAAATTTATGTCAGAAGTGTACAGCGAAGTATTCAGGTGAACTCGTAGCCCCATGGTGATCTTGAAGAGCACATTTACCTGAGACTGGTGTGAGCTGCATACTGAACACTTATATAATCTATGATCTGTCTGCTTGTAAGATTCCTTATTGATGACTTAGGAATTCTGTTCACATGCATCACTGGTTGGCAGGTACTAAACTAACACAATAAATTACCACCCTGAGTATGGAGGCTATCTGAGTGAATGTCTGATGAAGCAAAGTCAGATTTATGCCGATGTGCAAAATGACATGCGGGGTAATGAAAAATGGGACATCTGAATTATGACATGAGAATCTGAGGTCAGACCTAAGGTGCTGTGGTTTGATTATTACTTAATGTTCACAGTGTTATTATTAGTTTGAGAGGCTGAATTTTATTGTATACTGTTTTATCAAATTTTTGTTTATTTAGTGAACAGGACGTGTTTTAATCAGTAGAATATGTGCTGGATCAATCCCATGTTTCAGCTTTGTCAAGATCAAATTTTCCAGTGATGTGGCATTTATAACGACTGCATTATGGTTAGAGAAACCTTTGGTGTTGTGGTCACAGCTGTGAGCTGACATCATCCTCATGGCAGGTACTCACGCGGCACAGCTCAGCCACACCTGGCACCCTAGTAGTGCCACGCGCTGGGATCACTGTCATTGCAGAGTGATTGATGATATTTTCCCTTCATTTTTAGCCGCATGTTCACATACTTGTTTCTCTATCTCATACAGTCACGTCTGTGTTATCTACCTTGCCCTCGGGTATAGCAGGGATAAGATATTGTGCAGGATTTTCGTGGGAAAACAAATTTTCCTCAGGTCTTCAGTAATTTTAAGTACTCACAAGCCATCACCAGTCTGTGAAATAAGCTTTTTAGAGTGGTTGTCCTGTTGGACAACCATCTAATATTTTTGGGTTGCCCCCATCCACTTTTGGTTGCCCAAATAAATCGAAGAAAAATAACACAAAACTTACAAGATTCCTTTTTATTTCAGCGGGTTAAAAGCTAACATGCACTGTGTAGCTTTAAACAGATTAACTTATGCAAATAAACAGATGATAAACAGTTTAATGTTAAAGAACCTCAACAGCAACAATGCAGCATTTGGTAACATGTCTTCCTTCCCACAAACAATTATTTTAAGAACAACTATGCATCATCATACATACTGTACAAACACTAGAATATTTTCTAGGAAAAGAAGGCATTCCTGTTTCCAGGTCAAGATTTGAAGACAAGCCAGAATGAAGAATATTTTTCAGTATATTTACTGCTAGCTAAGTGTAATAGGATTCTCCATTTCCCTGCCTCTTAGTCTATTAACTTAGTTTCAAATGTGGACAAATACGGTTAATGTGGACACATTGATTTATTATATTTATATGTTATTATAATAAACAATTAAAATGCTGCATTTTCTGCCATCTCCATCTCACATTCATCTTCATCATTGTAATAATGTCAAATGATACAGGAAGTACAAGACATGTTGGATGGCATGGACAGACAGAGTGATCAGAATATAGTGTGTCTGTATATAAAAAGGAATGTCACTATTTTAAACGTAATGAAATGTCTGGTTCAGACTAGTCTCTGAAGGACAAAAATATAAAAAACACTGTGTTTTCTTCCATCTCCATCTCATCTACTTCATCAAATTCATCTTCATCATTCTCCTTTGAAGTAACCAAAGAATCTGTAACTACCTCCTGTAACATAAACGTGCTAACTCTGTAAGCCGCCATGCTGGAACACACGCGTATTATTCAAGTCGCTTACAACATTGTAAAATAAGAGGTGGTCGCTTAAGACAAATAAAATGTTACATCTCCCTCTTTATAATCAACTAAGATTAATAAAGTAAATAAAAGCATGTAAATTAAAATAAATTCAGTTTTTGGTGTTCACAGTTCTTTGTGAGTGTTCACTTTAACTTAAAGTCTTTCAATGTTCAATGTGAGAAGAGCATTCAGAGTCTCTGATCTTCTAGTCCTTTTGTAAATAATTTTTTTTTTTACTTTAACTTAAAGTCATTTCATGCTCCACAGAGAATGTCTTTAACAGTCCATTTAAATGAAAGAAAAGAAAATTAAAGAAAAGTCTTTGGCTGAGTCTTTGCATTATAACTTAAAACTGCTTTAAAGCAAGTCCACATGAAAATCCACATGTAGTATTAAATTAATACTGAATCGTTCACAAAAAACAAGTTATAAATTTAATCTGTCTGGCGGTTTCACCACACGACCAGATCTTGTTACAATCCTTGGGGTATTAATCGCTGATGTCACTGTTTTTGTTGGTGTTTTACACTGATCCTTGACAATATCTCGGGTTGGTGTTACTGTCTCCTCAGGTACTATATGCTGATCCTTGATAGGTGAATGTAATGGCTCATCACATGGCTCCAAGTCAACAAAATTAGGGTTATAGTGATGTGCTTTTTCTGTTGATGATCTTAAGTGCTGACGATTACGTCTGTATACACGGTCATTTCCTTCCACTATGTATGATCTTGGATGTGTATGACGTTTAACAACAATGGCTGGTGCCCATGTTTTTGAACCTGGATGAGGCTGCATTCTCACATGTTCTCCAGGGCTGAAAGCTTTCAGTTCTTTAGCACCTTTCCTTTGATCATAATAATATTTCTGCTTTAGTTTCTCCTGGCTAAAATGACGTTTCACCTCTCGTTGGTTATATGCCTGTGGTTTTAACAGATTTCGAGCTGCAGGCAGTGTGTTTCTAGGTCTGCGTCCCATTAACAACTGCGAAGGGGACAAGTTTATGCCTTCCAAAGGTGTAGTTCTGTAGTTGAGTAGAGCAAGATACTTGTCATCACATTTTTTCCACATTTTCTTCACAATTTGAATAGCTCTCTCAGCTTCCCCATTTGAACCTGGGTACTGAGGACTGGAGGTCATATGTTCAATATCATACACTTTGCAAAATTGTTTGAATTCACATGAACTAAACTGTGGTCCATTGTCTGATCTGATTTTAAGAGGTATGCCATGACAACTAAACACATATTTCATAGCATTGATTGTAGCAGTTGTAGTTGCGGCATTCAGTTCTACAACATCAATGTACTTTGAATAGTAATCAATGAGAAGTAGGTACTTCTTTGCTCCAAAGTCAAATATGTCACAACCAACTTCAGTATAGGGTAGATCTGGAGGGACGGTCGGTTTCAACGGTTCTGCGGGTAACCTGTTTTGATACTCAGAACATTTTATGCAGTCTCTCACCATGTTTTCAATTTCCATATTCATTCCAGGCCAAAACATGACTTCCCTTGCACGCTGTTTGCATTTCACAACTCCAAGATGTGACTCGTGTATCAAGCTAAGCATGTACTTTTGTAATGACGGTGGAATAACTATTCTGAGGCCTTTGTAGATTACACCATCAAACACAGACAATTGGTCTCTGGAGTCCCAGAAATTTCTAATTTCATAAGGTGTCTCTCTACGCGTATCTGGCCATCCTTGAACAATTGTGTTGTATAGAGGCTGTAGCTCTCTTTGCGTTCTTGTTCTAATATCAGAGTATCTCTCGCTGCTCACAGAGATCATATCAATTAAACATAAATCATCTAGTCCTGTCACGTCAGAACTGGTGTCTGGTAAGTATGCTCTCGACAATGTATCTGCTACCACCATATCTTTGCCTTTCCTGTATACAACATTGAGATTGTACCACTGTAGACGTAGCAACATCTTCTGCAATCTCATTGGAGCTGACAGTAATGGCTTCTTATAAATGCTCTCTAATGGCTTGTGGTCTGTGTACACTGTTGTTTCCTTACCGAAGATGTAGCAGTGGAATTTTATAGCTCCATGGACAATGGCGAGCATTTCCTTCTCTATTTGAGCATAACGCATTTCAACATCAGTAAGAGAACGTGACGTGTATGCTATAGGTCGGCCATCTTGTATTAGCACTGCCCCTAGTCCACTTCTTGATGCATCACACTGAATCTCTACGGGCTTGTTCACATCATAATAAGCTAATACAGGCGGTGTGCTACACAAGTGTTTGAGTTCCTCAAAACTTGCTTGTTGCTCATGTTCCCACTTGAATGACACATCATTCTTCAATAATGCTCTCAGTGGGGCATCCACCTGACTCAGGTTTGGTATGAACTTGGCTAGATACTGTACAAGACCAAGTATTCTTCGTACTCCATCCTTATCTGTGGGTGGTGTCATCTCAGTTATTGCGCGCACTTTTTCTGGATCTGGGCTCAGGCCCTCTGCTGTGAGGATATGTCCCACATACTGAACTCTGGGCTGACGCACCTGACACTTGTCAAAATTGAGCTTTAGGTTGTATTCAGTAGCTCTCTGAATAACCTTCTTGAAAATCGAATCATGATGCTCACGATCTGTGCCTGCTATCAATATGTCATCCATTATAGCTGTGGCACCTTCTATGCCTTCAAGCATTTCATCCATGATTCTCTGAAAGATTTCTGGCGCTGATTTAATACCAAAGGGTAGGCGAAGCCATC